AAAAGAAAAAGAAAAAAAGAAAGCATAGGATTGTGAAAGATCAGAAAGTAGTTCAAATTTAGCTGAAGCAGAGGTTCAATAGTGAGAAGAGGGCCTGGGAAGAGATTTAGGGCCAGACGATGGAATACTTGGAAAGTCACACTTTTTTGGACTTTGCCCTGTAGGTAGAAGGAAGACACCAAAGATGTATGTGCAGAGAAGTACCTGCTAAAATAATGTTTTTGGAATATATATCAAACAGCAATGTGGAGGACAGATTAAAGAGTGACAAGGAGGTCAGGGTAGTACTGAGGCGTGATTGGGGGTTGGGAGTGGTGTGTACTGAAATGTGTATTGTAGACAATAGCAATGAAAAGGAAAGGCATGTACATGAGATATTTTGAAAGAGGGCTTATTAGGGTTTGGAAACTAACTGGATAGGAGAAAGAATTCAGAGAAGAAAGATAAAGTGAATTCCAAAGTTTATACAGCACCACCCAATGGTAAGAATAGGTAAATCCCAATATGAGTTGACATGAAATTTATAATAAACTCGGTGGACTGCATAGTGAAAAGACCTTGGTTTCTTTATCTATAAAATGTGGGCAAGTCATATATATCTTAATTAGGTTGTAGTACTAATTGAGTAAGGTAAAGTATAAAGTGGACCATCATAAGGGGATAATGATAATAGCTATCATTTTTTTGAGTCCTTTCTACGTGCAAGGCAGGGGATAAGTGCTTTATATGAGTTATTTCATTTTAAGCCTCATAACAACCTTCATATCATCATCATCCACATTTATAGATAAGAACTCTGAGACATAAGATGGATATTGACCAAGATCAGTGGCTGTTGAGTGGTGGAGCAGTATTTGAACCCTGCCAGGACGGACGTTAGAGTTCGTCTACTTACTCACCACACTATGCCTACGCCTAGAGTGAAAAATAAATTTACTGTACTTTTATATCATCCAGTTCTTCTGGTCATATTACTCACCAATCACTCTCATAATACTCAGTTGCACAGCTCACTATTACCAGTAGCCATGGCAATTATCTTTCTCATTGCAAACAAAATAATTACAATTCCAGTTTTATAAGTAAGTCTCTTGCGTTTGATTAGTGCGAGTCAGATCAATTCTGTGTAAAATGATAAGATGCAACTTCTAAACGTGCTGATTTGAGGACAAAGTCCTGAACCCACGTGACAGAGGACTCTAAAAACTCTAGAGAACATGAAGAAAGCAGCTGGTTGCCTCCCCGCTGCCATCCCATTAACTACAGTAAATGCAAAGAATATTTCCAGTGGCTCCTAATCCAGAAGAGTCTCCCAGTTTCTCAGCAGAGTTCTCTTTCTGTTAGTCCTGCATGTCTGCCATCTGAAGGTAAACATCAGGTGTCCAAATGGTGGGGCTATAGAATTCTAAGAAGCATCTGGACCAGTGATTCTCAGCCCTAGCTGCATAAGATAATCACTTAGAATGCTTTCAAAAACTATTGTCACCTACACCACATCCCTGACCAATTAAAGTCAGGATCTCTAGGGGTGAGGCCTGGGAGTCTGTATTTTTAAAAGGTCCCCCAGATGATTATGATCTGCAGCCAGGATTGAGCATGATGGATGTCAACTATAGGAGGATTATAGGGCCTGAATCTTCTGTTAATTGGTGATTCCAAGGAAGAGGAAGCAGTAGGAGAGGAGGGATAGGCAGCAGCCAGGCTGAGGATTTAGCACCTCTTCTGGTAACCTTTATCCCTCCTCATTCTTCCCGTGCTTCTGCAAAGTGCTCAGGCAGAAGCAAAGGTGTGTTTGTGAAGGGTGATTCTATACTGTGGTGTACACATATCTTCCTCAATAATGCTGACTGGCGCAGGAGAGAAAAATAGAACTGGGTTGAGAGTAAGTCAAGATCAGTTACAGAGAAATAAGAGATGGATCTGCAAACTCTTGTTTGTGGTTAAACTTGAACCTCTCCACATGAGTATATGTGGAAGAATATAGGGGATGGTAAGTGTATTTCTGCATAAACTTTAAGTGGGTTTAACTTCTCAAATTTATCTTTGATATCTTTAATCTTTGATTAAGACAAAAAACAAGTTAAATCATGGAACAAGTCACAGAACAAGTTAATTAGATCCCATTGTTCCTTGGTAGATTTATTAAACGGCATCACCTACCCAGATATATAGAACATCTCCACTTATCAACTTGAGATTCAGACCTTCTTTGGTTTGGATTGAAGCTACAATATTCCTGATTGAAAGGCAATCTTTCTTGCTGAACTCGTCTCTGGACTGTGGAGAAAACAGTAAAGCATTACCAGCAATGCCAATTTCAAGACTTCCCTTAGGCCAGGTGCAGTGGCTCAGGTCTGTAATCCCAGCACTTTGGAAGACTAGGTGGGAGAATCACTTGAGCCCAGGAGTTCAAGAACAGCCTGGGCAACATATTGAGACCCTATCTCTACAAAAAATAAATTTAAAAAATTAGCCAGGCTCAGTGGCATGTGCCTGTAGTCCCCACTACTCAGGAGGCTGAGATAGGAGGATTGCTTGAGCCCAGGAGATCAAGGTGGCGGTAAGCCATTATGGCACCACTGCATTCCAGCCTGGGTAATAAAGTGAGGACTTGTCTCAAAAAAATGAAAAATAAATAAATAAACTTTCCTTATAGGTGTTCGTATGGAAAATAACTATTACATTTCACAGAATTCTCTAAACTCATAACTCGGCTCTGGGATTTAAAAGCAGATAGTTTATTATTATAATGTTTGAACATCAATTGTATTTAATATCCCAAATGCCAGTGAGCTTTTTTACTTATCCCCCCAAGAATCCTAGCATAGCCAACCCTGTCTGTATTCCCCAGCCTTTACTGTTTAAATGCACCCTGGATATATTTCCAACTGTATTTCTTGCCTGGGGACTTTCTTTAGTGACAGACCTCATTTGGCTTGCTGGTGTAGCAGAGAGGAAGTGCAGGTATATTGAACCCCCCTCCACAATCCCCCACCACCAGCCCTCATCCAGTGGTTGACAGGAGCTGGTATAAATATACAGCAGCAACCTTGCCTCCCAGAGAGATTCACTATGAGTTTCCCTAGTGGGATTAAGTGGGAGCTGATTTGATGATGTGCCCCATCGGTTTCCTTTACTTTCTTTCTTTTTTTGTTCTGAGACGGAGTGTTGTTCTGTCACCCAGGCTGGAGTGCAGTGGCGTGATCTAGGCTCACTGCAACCTCCGCCTCCCAGGTTCAAGTGATTCTCCTGCCTCAGCCTCCCAAGTAACTGGGATTACAGGCATGCACCACCACACCCTGCTAATTTCTGTATTTTTTTTTCTTTTCTTTTTGAAACAGAGTCTTGCACTGTCACCCAGGCTGGAGTGCAGTGGCACGATCTTGGCTCACTGCAACCTCCGCCTCCCGGGTTCAAGCGATTCTCCTGCCTCAGCTTCCCAAGTAACTGGGATTACAGGCATGCACCACTACACCCGGATAATTTCTGTATTTTTTTTTTCTTTTTGCAACAGAGTCTCACACTATCACCCAGGCTGGAGTGCAATGGTGTGATTTCGGCTCACTGCAACCTCTGCTCCCGGGTTCAAGCGATTCTCCTGCCTCAACCTCCCGAGTAGCTGGGATTACAGGCACCTGCCACCACACCCGGCTAATTTTTGTATCTTTGCAAAGATACAAAAAATTATCTTTTTAATTGTTGGCCAGGCTGGTCTCGAACTCCTGACCTCATGATCTGCCCTCCTCAGCCTCCCAAAGTGCTGGGATTACAGGTGTGAGTCACCACACCCAGCCCTAATTTCTGTATGTTTGTATTTTTAGTAAAGACAGAGTTTCACCATGTTGACCAGGCTGGTCTCAAACTCCTGACCTCAAGTGATCCACCCGCCTCCGCCTCCTAAAGTGCTGGGATTACAGGCATGAGCCACTGCGTCCAGCCTATTTCCTTTACTTTCTTAGTCAAATAAGTTGCACTTGAATCCTGTCTTAGGGTCCTCTTCAGGAGGCACTCAAACTAAGACATATCCCTGAGTACTCCATAATAATGCATTTGGAGTTTGACTATTAATCGATCATAGAATTTTAGAATTTAAAGGGTCATGACAGACCATCGAAGATAGAAACTTCATTGTCCTGAAAAGGAAACCAGTGTGCAGATGGCTGAAATCATTTGATCAAAATCAAACTACTAGCTAATGGAGGACACAGTACTTGAATCTGGTCTCTTGACACCCAGTTCAGTTCTACTCTTCATGGAATCTGAGCTTATCCACCTCATGGTATTTTTCACACAAATGGCAAAAATATAGTACATGTTACCCCGCTTGCACCTGTGACAGACATTACTAATCCATATCAGCATTCTTTTTCAATCAACCCAGATCTAGTCTCAATCTTCCTCAACAGAGCTCCAGGCAACAATTATCATTTGGTCAGAGGTAATCCATGAAACAAAACCTATTTTCCATGCCTGATCTCACTCAAAAAGGATATCAATTTTCTTTGTTTAAAATTGTTTTTGATTATTTTTCACTCTCTGCTTTGGCAGTGGGTTTCTGGGCAATACCTTCACTTGCTCAAGAATTTAATGATTTGTTACTCTTCTGCATGCATGCTGGCATGTTTGATGAAAGTTTTATCAGTGATCTCCCACCCTAAGAATTCTTTGGGTGAGAGTCTTAAAGCATCGATGTGAAGACTAGAAAATCTCCCAAAAGAACTAGCTACATTCTCAGTCACATTTTGGTTTTCCTTTTTGTTTTGGTTGGTGCTTTTTCTTATTGTCTTTAATTGTGTTACAACTCTTCACATCCTCCAGACAACCAATTATTATGACCATTTTCTTGAACATATCAAAATCAAAATCCTATCATCCTCTACACTGTTTTTTATGTCTTCCCGTACTGCTGGCTTCACATTGAATCTGATGACTTGATATTTAGACACAATGCAAGAGAATTTTTTAGAAACATGTTCTCTTCGGGTCTTGATGACATTGATTTTTTTCAGTCTTCCTTGAGTGAGCTGGGTGGTTGCAGACCTGCGTGTTACCTCCAACCCCTTGCGGCTGCCTTGGGGTCATGCTACCTCACAGTGACAACTTCTCATCTTGTGATTTGTCATTCTGATCAGGTGATGCATTTTAGGCAATAACTTCCATATGTGAGGATCCAGGGCCACCAGGAGTGCTACTGGCAACTTTCTCAGAGACTTTTCCCCTTGATACAAGGCTGTGCCCAAAGACATAACACTGGGACACAGAAATGGGCCTTTCATTGAAGACCCAGGCTTTTTGCCCAAGTAGGTGTCCAGCACCAAAAATAAAAATAAAGGGTAGGCATCATTCAGACAAAACCAAATGGTAATTTTTAAAGAGTAAAAGGTACCTCTTGCACATAAATCCTGACACTCATGAGACTGAAATAGAATGTCTTCCTAAAATGGCACGACTGTCAACAGCTCAGTGAGGGATGTGACATTTGTAAATGCAATGGAGGTAATCCTCACCTAATGGAACGGATCGATTCCATGCATGTTTACTTAGCCATAAAGTTTTATCATTTTGATCTGATTTTCCCATTGACATTTGTCATAATATTGAAAAGGTAATTCTTTTCCTGAAAAAGTCTTGCCCTTAGAGATTCAATAAATACAAGCAACAATGCATAAGCAATTCAAAATAACCTATTTGAAGTAGGGTCATTAGTACTTTTGAAAAGAATGGTTATAATAGTCAAAAATATTAGAAACAGTTGTGTGCTATAATTGAAAGAAGTCATAAAATTAGGTCAGATTCCCTAGCAACAGAGCCTGAGTTTGGGATTCATGTGCAAGTAATCTACAATTGCATAAGGTTGTGCCCTCAGGAGAAACCTGTAGGAAGTGAGAGATGAAGATAGAGAAGGGGAAGAAGCTAAGCTAGAATATGTTTTTAGGTGTACCCTGGTGTCTGCCTGATCTCCCAGGGAGCTCTGGAATATATAACTTCCATAACAGCATTTGTCCCTCCTAGGGGCAAGGGAGCTCAGTTCCTCTACCTCCATACCAGTCAGTTATTGTCTACAGACCATCTGATCAGGAGATGAATGTCAATTCCCAGGCACCTCCGGGAGAGGCACCCTTCAGTCTCCCAAAGGCAATCCCCTGGGGAAGAATCTAAGTGTGAGTCCTTAACAGTAATACAGTCAATAAGCAGTTGGCTTATGAATGCACCTGATAAGTAAAAGAGACCAAGCCCAGGGCATCTGGAGAGGCACAAAAGAAAAGAAAGACCACTAAGGAAAGTCCAAAGAATAACTGCACAAGTTTGAGAGAAAGAGAACGTGACTCAGCAGCTAAGTCATATAAAAATGTCTAAGGGATCCTGATGGGCAGTAAACTCAGTACAAATTAACAGTAATGTAGCTCTGTTTAAGAAAGAAAAAAAACAGGCTGCCAAATGCTGGCAAGGATGTGGAGCAGTGGGAACGCTCATTCATTGCTGGTGGGAATACAAAATGCTACAGCCACTTTGGAAGACAGGCAGTTTTTTACAAAACTAAACATACTCTTCCCATATGATTCAGCAATTGCATTACTTGGTATTTACCCAAATAAACTGAAAACTTTTGTTCACACAAAACCTGCACATGAATGTTTCTGGAAGCAATATAGCTTTATTCATAACTGCCAAAACCAAGATGTCCTTCTGTAAGTGAGTGGATAAATGAACTATGGTCCTTCCATATGACAGAATATTATTTAACACTAAAAAGAAAAAGAACTGAGTTATCAGGCCACAAAAAGACATGGAAGAAACTTAAATGCAGATTCCTAGGTGAAAGAAGTCAGTCTGAAAAGGCTACATACTGTATTGTTTAACTATATGACATTCTGGAAAAGGCAAAACTCAGATGAGTGGTTGCCAGAGATTTGGGAGAAGGAAGGAGAGATGAATTGGTGGAGCACATGGAATTTTCAAGGAAGTGAAACTATTCTGTATGATATTGTAATGGTGGACACATGACATTACGCATTTGTCAAAAACAATGGAACAGGCCAGGGCAGTGGCTCACACCTGTAATCCCAACACTTTGAGAGGCTGAGGCAAGTGGATCACCTGAGGTCAGGAGTTTGAGACCAGCCTGGCCAACATAGTGAAACTCCATCTCTACTAAAAATATAAAAGTTACCTGGGCGTGGTGGCAAGCACCTGTAGTTATGGCTACTCGGGAGGCTTGACCCAGTAGGTGGAGGCTATAGTGAGCTGAGATCACACCACTGCACTCCAGCCTGGGT